AATGAAAATTTATTTAGCAATCCATCATTATTAGACGATAGTGATATTTTTAAAGCATTAGAAGGTGATGTGCCATTTGAAGAGGAGGTGGATGATGAGATAAATTTGTATTTGCAACAAAGAAAAATTGGACTAAATGATGATCCATTAAAATGGTGGCAGTTAACAAGAATAATTTTCTGATTTTGGCACAAATTGCACGAAAGTATCTATCAATTCCTGCAACATTACTGCTAAACAAACTTGACTTTCTCCAGATTTAGTGAATAAGATGCTATTCTTGAAAAGAAATAGTGTTCATTTTGATATATTTCCTCCATTAAAATGTAATAGAAAATGATATTTTACATTTAATAAAAACTTTATAAATAAGTCGATTATATATCTAACATCGTAAAATAATTTAAAATTGAATTGATTCAAACCGGTTCTTGGAACTGGTTTCGATTCAGGCCGAGCACTCGAATTGACCCAGTTATCAATTGCAACCAGTTTAAACCGGATCAAACTTTTTGAAAATATTTAAAACTGGTTTTCAGAAATAGAACCGGTTTCAATCTCTACCCTAAACGATGCTACGCAGTATCCAGTTACATCTGGTCAAGTTTCAAGCATTTTCCAATTCTGAATGGTTATATTGGAGAAATGAGACTCAGTGAATTTTTTAACAAAATTTTGCATTTCATTGCATTTTAGTTTTTGATGATATTAGATTAAAATGTAATAAAGTCTTAATTTTAATCAAAAAATTCCCAGAGCCCCATTTTCCTAGCATATGATGAATGCTTCCTATTACAAACAAATATACACGAGGTATTTAAATGAAATTATTAAGGAAAGTATTTAATAAGTGAAGGACTGAAAATAAAAATAAAACTACTAATATTAACAATGGCGATCAAAGGTTATGTCAGCTTCCCAAAAAACGGCGTGCAAAAAGAGACCAACTACTCGAAGGAAACTTTTACGTGTAAGGCAAACGCTTCTAAGAGCAAATTCTAGGGACGTCTGTATCCAAGTCTAAACCGTTGCTCTTAGCTTAATACAAAGGATACACCAGAAAAATGGTTCTCCTTTGAAGCTAAACCTTTTACTAATCATAACATTAATCAAAAGCTGTTAAAGGAATGTGGGACACGATTGGACAGTCAGAAACTAAAGGGAATCAAACATTATTTAACCCATAAGATGGCCCTTTAGCACCTGACTGGACATCATTAAGGAGAATTTAATAATAATAAAAATAAAAAAGGATACTTCCCATAAATAATTGTCAACCTACAGGTACCTGTCACTGAAGAGACTTTTAATATAATGGTGGTCCCCACACCTCCTATATTCTGGACCGTAAAAAGTTGAACATTAAGAATCCATAATCTGTCGTTAAAATGTCTGCCTATTAGAATGATATAAAAAAAAGAAAAAAAATGTTAGATTCAAAAATCTAAATTTTCATCGAACGAGTAAGGAATTCGTGCTTAGGGCGGTTGGGATAATACTTGTCTATAGAAATGAATATCCCGGGTATATCGAACCGGTAGGTCAAGCAATATTTCGCGAATATTGGTGAGTTCGTAACCAGAATGGAAAATCACTACTAAACAAATACCTTGTAAAAAAAACACGAAAGGCGCGTTCAAAAGATAGAAAAGTTGTTTGGAATTGAGTGTTATTTTAGGTGTGAGAAGGGGGAAAAATGTGTTTAAGAGTTTGGATTTTCTGTTTCTTTTAAAATAAAAAAAATGACATAAGATTATTTCCAGCGTA